TAGCGACGACGACGACGATGAGGAGGAAGACGAATTCGAAATCGTGTCCGGCGACCAGCTCATCAACTCGAACCAGAAAGAGAGGCTCCACAAGATGGAGGTCGGTGAGGCTGCCGCTCTGCTCCGCGAGAACCGGAAGTCGAGTCTTGACTCTACCGGAAATGCAGAGGATGATGAGGATGACGACTCGAAGGAGTCGCGCACTAGTAGCACCGGTTGATGCTACGGACGGGAATGCTAGCGAATTGATGCTGGTCTCTAGGGAATGAGATCAAAAGACGTACAGGAATACATCATCTACGGAGAGGCGTTTTGGTTGCCAACGTGGGCAGGGTATTTTTATTCCAGAGGATGCGTTGCAAAGGTCGCCCAAGATGACCAGGTCGCGATAGTGTTTGGCGTAGGTCTCGTTATGAAGAAGCCCACGGGTAGATACCCAATAAAAGAGAGAACTGACCAGGTACCATTTTATGCTTCCCCATATCGTGACGCAATGTAGCACTGCTCAAGCGGCCTCTCAACCAACCTGCATAAGATGCGAAGGACAGCTCCCCATTAAGCTGCAGTGAGTGAGTCTTTCCTCCACGTCGATTGGCCACTTGCAGCAGCCCGGCGGGGCCCTGGGTGGCTTCACCCACCAAATGTGGCTGTAGCTCCAGCTAAGGCCAGGTCATCGTGGCTGGAACAAACTCCGACAAAGCGTGACGAATACGATACCTTGTCCTCCCAACGCCCGTCTCAGCAACGGTTGTCCGAACAGATCGACAACATACCGCAGACAATGTCGACCCCAGCCTTGCGAATCCCGCGTTGAAATCTCACCTCGAAACACACACAAAAAAAAAAAAAAACCACACAGCTCGCCGACACTAAGCGATGCTGCATTTGTCGCAATCCGAGCACGACGACGAATACTACCACCTCCACAGACACATGTCCCACGCCCATTCGATCCCGACAGCGCGCGAAAGCCCCGCCACAAGCTGCCCCAGATGCACTGGTTCCGCTTCTTCTCGTCCGCCTGCGACGAGGACGCATGCGCGGCCGTGGACCCCAACGCCGCCCCCTCAACGCTGGGGCTGATATTCTCGCTGTCGCCGTTCCTCCTCACCTTCGCCGCCGTCGCGACGGTCGCCAACCGCTCCATCTTCCCGCGGCTCGCCCGCGTTCACGACGCGCACGACGGCGAGGACCACTACCTGCCCGCCCACGCGCCGGCGACGCTGCGGCAGGCGCACGCGGAGCACGGGCAGAAGAGCGCGCGGCGGCGGGTCGCGGCGGGGGTGTTCTGCGTGACGGTCGGGCTGGCGACGGTGCTGGGTGAGCTGATCCTGTGCGAGGTCTCGGACGTGGTGGGGACGCGGGCGCGGGAGGTCGGGTTGAGGGTGACGGTGCCGACGCTGCTGGTGCTGCTGGTCGGCGTGATCCCGTTCCTGGAGATCCAGAGCGTGGTGGCGGGGGCGGGGTGGAGTCTCCAGAGGGACGGGAGGGGCCGCGTGCCGAGGGTGGCGTGGGGGGTGCAGGGCGCCGTGTTTGCGGGGTGGCTGTTTGCGTTTTGGAGCCTGGGGAGGATGGTCGGGCTGGAGAAGACGCCGGGAGGGGGCGTGTTGAGGGCGTGTCTGGAGCGGATCGGGGTGATTGGGATCTCGCTGATGGCGATGCTGAGCGGGTTCGCTGCGGTGTCGAGCCCGTGGCACACGCTGGGCGCCGTTAATGACCGGCGCAAGAGGCCTGTGACGGAGACGGATATTACAAGGAAGGAGGCCGGGCTGGAGGCGACGAACGAGATGCTGATTACGAAGAGACACCGGCTGCAGGCGCTGGAGCGGAAGGCGCGCGACGCGGCGGCGGCTGCGGCAAGCAGCTCTTCATCGGGCGGGTTCATGGGCAAGATGCTGGGCGCCGTGAGGGGGATGAATGGCGACGAGGCGGAGATGAAGGCGCTGCGGCTGGAGATTGCCGGGCTCGAGACGATGGAAGCGAACCTGGGCGCGAGCCTGGGCATGATGCGCAGCCGGCGAGAGGCGGACGAGCGGGCCAAGACGGCGTGGGGCAAGGTCCTCGCGGTGCCGCACTTTGTCTTCAGCCTCTACTGCCTGTACCGCATCCTGGCGACGATGATGGCGACGCTGCGGCGGGCGTACTACCCGGCGGCGAGCTTCAGCTCCTCGGACCCGATCAACCGCTTCCTGGGCCTGCTGGCGCGGCACTGGGACCCGAAGCTGGACCAGATCGCGTGGGCGCGGCAGATTTCGTTCCTGTTATCGGGGGTAATTCTCGCGGCGAGCGCCAACAGCGTGCTGCAGACGTTCCGCCTCTTCAGCAAGTGGATGCCGGGCTTGCTGTACCAGGCGCAGGCGAACCTGGCGCTGGTGATCGGGCAGGTGGCGGCGGTGTACGTGATCAGCGCGGCGTTGCTGCTGCGGAGCAACCTGCCGCGGGAGATGGGCAGCGCAGTCGGGGATGCGCTGGAGGGGGCGCTGGAGCCGCGGTTTGTCGACTGGTGGTTTGAGGGGTGGTTCCTGGGAAGCTGCGCGGTGACGGGCGTGGGAGTGTGGATTTCGAGGAAGATTGGGCGGGAGGAGTGGGATGACTTCGGGAGCGAGGAGATGGGGGCGAAGAGGATGTGAGGACATGAGGGATTTTAGAAGAATTGTCTTGATATTAGCTTTATGAGGAGTCGGGCGTGTATTGTTAGCGATTAGGGATATCATGGGACCATTGTAAAGTATCAATGAGCTTTTATCATGAACTTTCTGTTTTTTATTTCGATGACATGCAGCATTATAACCAGGTTCGCCTTTTCCCATCTTACAATCATCTCGCAGACCTACACAGCCATCATATCCACCAACTCAGCAAGCCCCTCGTCCTCACACCCTCCTCCTTCTCCTCCATCCCCATATCCCTCCTCCAAGCCCTCTTCACCTCCTCCAACAACCCCTCCTTCGTAAACACATCCACCGCCACCGCCGCCAGCCCCTTGCCGACCTTCAAACTAATCTCATACGCCTCCCGCGTCCCCGCCGCCGCCGCGAACTCGGGGTTATGCGGGCCCTGCCCGCCCTCCCCCGGCGGAATCGCAAAGCCCACACTCAGACTCGGCATCGCGTAGCTGATATCCCCCTGATCCGTGCTCGCCATCGTCCGTCCGCGGATCTCGTCCACGTCCTCATCCAGGGGAATCTTCCCCTTCCCGTCTTTCGTGGACAGCGCGTTCCACGCGCGTGTGTAGCTGCGCCCCAAGGGCCGGTTCGGCACGTGGTCCTTGTAGCTCCCCGTCTCGGTGACCTTCAGCTTCGCGCCCGTGGCGAGCGCGCCCGCTTCAAAACAGCGCTGCACCTGCGCGCGCAGCTCCCTCAAGCGCGCCTGACTGTCGGCGCGCACGACGAAATCCCCCGCGGCGTACGCGTGGATGATGTTCGGCCGCGCGCCGCCCGAGGTGATGTTGCCCTGGATCACGTCGCCGGGCATGGTCTGCTGGCGCAGCGCGGAGAGCGCGGTGTAGGCGGTGACGAGGGCGTCGAGGGCGTTGATGCCCAGCCAGGGGTTCGCGGCGGCGTGGGCCTCGCGGCCGAAGTACTCCACCGAGAAGGAGGTGTAGGCGGAGGTGCGCATGAGGGAGGTGTCGGCGACGATGCCTGGGTGTGAGATGAGGTTGAGGTCGACGCCGTGGGCGGCGTAGGCGCCGGCGCGGAGGAGGCGAATCTTGCCGCCGCCGCCTTCCTCGGCGGGGGTGCCGTAGAGGACGACTTTGCCTGGGAGGGAGGGGTGGCGGGAGAGGTAGAGGGCGGTGGCGAGGGCGCCGGCGACGGAGGCGGAGGCGATTAGGTTGTGGCCGCAGGCGTGGCCTATGCCGGGGAGGCAGTCTGGGAGGTGTTAGAGGGGATGGAGGGAGTGGAGAGGAGAGGGGCGTACCCATCTCGGCGTTGAAGGAGACCACGGGGCCTTTGCGGCCGGTGTCGTAGACGGCGACCCAGGCGGTCTCGATGCCGTAGGCGGAGGGGGTGACGGACCAGCCCGGGCGGGAGCGCATGAAGGCTGTGAGGGTGTCGTGGGCGATGAACTCTTTGTAGCCTAGTTCAGGGTTGTCGTGGATCTTCTTGTTGACGGGCCAGAGGTCTTCGGCGAAGGAGTCTACGATGGCGGAGATTTCGTCGAGGGGCGTCGAGAAGGAGGTACGTTTGGTGGATGGTTTGCAGTCTGATTGGGAGATGAAAACGAAGTCATCGTCGTCTTCTGCCTCGATGGCATTTGGTGGGATTGGAGTTGCCATTTTGAGATGCGTGCGGTTGCGGTGAGAATCTGAGGGTGCCATCTTGAGACTTGTGCTTGAGGTTGGTGTGAGATGGAAGTGAAGGATGAGAGGTGAGGCTGGTGATAAGAGTTGCGACACGACGCGAATGAGAGGCTGGTGAGGTGAGGTAGCTACCTCGGTGGGTTTGGGTTCCCCGAGCGGAGGGGCTCCGACGCCGGCCGGTTATCTCCCGGGGTCCAGCTTGAATCGCGGGTGGCTTGCGATTGCAAGCTGCCATTCTAGGCTAGCGCTCTCGCTGCTTGTAGGAGGGATTAAGAGGCCTGTGCCGGTGCTGTTGGAGCAGAACTTATGGGTTGCCGACAGGTTGTGAAATTTCCACTCGTTGAATTCGATGCGGTTGTCGGTTCCGACTTACACCATTGGAGGGGCGGGTTTTTTTTTTCTGTCGCAAATGACAAGATTGATGTTATGTAGCCGATCAAAAGTCTTTTCTTTGAGAGACCGAGACGCCTTATGGGTGTATTGGCCGCCAATCAGGACTCAAGATTTGCTTGCATTGAAGGTCGTTCAAGGTTTTGACGAAGATGCAGAGTCAGTTTGCCTTTTCCCATTTTATCAGATACTCAGATTTTCAAAGTGATCCCAAACAGTTCGTTTGGTAATCCATGCTCAGTGTAGATTGAACACCTGCAACTCCTCAACTCCCTGCTCAACCCTCGCCACCGCCTGCCCGTACATCAATTCATGAACGCCAAAATGCGTCTGAAATGGTACCCCCTCCGCGGTATGGCCGGTTGGGGTTCCCGTCGACGTTCAGCATCTCCCACCACTCAAAGAGGTACTCGGGGCCCGTTTCAGCCATGAGAATTCTTTCCAAGCGCCCGGCTTTCTCAATCCTAGCGCAAAGCACCCCTTGTAAGCAGAGAATGTTCTCTTCGAAGTTGGAACAGGGTGTATAAGTAAGCTTCCCGCAGGCATTGTAGACGTCTAGAAAAGCAAGACGATGGGTGGTCAGATAGAAATCACCAGACAGGCCGTCGTTTGGGTGGTATTCGGCCCCCCAATCTGGAACCCAAGAAGGAAGCCCGGCAGTTGTTGTCTCCCGATAAGCTTGATTTGCGCAGTGGCTGAGAATATCCAGGTTCTTGCAGTAGCTCATAATCTCCCGCGTCGTCGCCTCGAAGACTTGAGCAGCAGTGAGGGCGTAGTCGATCGAAGCCGTTCTGACGCCTCGCGATATGCCTAACCACCCAAAGACTTTGTCGCGGGGGTCTGTTGCTCTTCTCGTACGAAATTTCGCAATCACCTCGTCGAACCGCAATTTCTCTTTCTGCAGGTTGGCTCGAATACTGGCCAAGTCCAGCAGCGTTTCCATTCCAACAGTGATGTTGGCGGTGGTAGTAATGAGTGATTTGTTTCTTTCGAGGGCGGAATAGCAGCAACGTCTTACAAATACGTGATTCCTGTAGCTTGCTGCTGCTTTGAGCAGATCGGACTCCGATAGCAGCCGCGGGCCGTACTGGTATGTCACTTGTCTTGCAAGAACAGCCTCTTGGACCGTCCAAACGCGCGACCACCATTCGTTGTGGAGAAAATGATACATCTGAAACAACTGAACGAGATCGTGCTTTAGATCTGGCCAGTGCAACTCGCTGTCGGCGGCATATTTTTCGATAATAGCCATAGCTTTGAATCCCACCGACGTCGCTGGACCGAGCCATACCACGACTTGGGTTGCGCTTGAGTAAATGTCACTCATCCATCGGACTTGCTGATTACGCTCCTGGACATTCTCCTGATCGATGCAGAGAACGTCCACCCAGAGCATGCGTGCTCGGTCAGGATATCGAAGATGGCGCAGCGCCGCCTCGAGGTTCACGGTGACATTTTTGACCGTCTGTTGAACTGTAATGGTGCGTGTGTCGCTCGAGTCACCCCATACATATGAAAGAGCTTCATAGCCATCGGGGCTGTCCAAGGATGTCGTGTGGAGTTTACAGATGATACCGTCCGCCTTGTTACCGGCGAGCAGCCTGAGGAGGCGGACTTCGCGTTTAGTGGGGTCTAGTACAGTGTACATCGGTAATTGTAATTGCGAAAAAAAGTCGGAAGAAAAGCCTCAATGAAGGGATCGACAATCGTGTTTGGTCCAGAATCAAAAGACAATATGTTGAACGCTTGGTTTCTTATCTGGATCGACAGTTCTTCACCGTTGCCTGACTTCAGGGCAAGCCGTCACCGCCCAATATAAATTTGGAAAATTGCCAGGCATCAACGGTGCGGCGCAGACGGGCTGTAATAAATGTATTGGCTGAAAGTAGGCGCAGCTGTTTGGGGCACAGCAAAATCGATTACTACTGGTTGGTAACCGGGTACAACGGGGTGCCTACCAAGGGCGCGTGTTGGCACCGTGTGTTCTTGACATTCTAGTAGGCGAAAGGTGGAAGAACCCAAGCATCCATGGATGTTGTAGAGCTTTTCGAGAAAGGACTGATCCCTAAAATTTCATTCAAAACCTTGGGCTCCGGGTGCAAGTACCTACTTTAATGGTTTCCAAGATCTCAAGTTCATCGCGTAATTGACATTGTAAACCATAGGGACATAGATTCGACACAATTTGCAAGACCGTGTACAGCGGTATTTTATACTGGATTCTGCTGTCTGGGAGCATACCTCTCCATAGCTACACGGACGGAGCTCTACTTGCATTGGACACGGTCTGTTCCATTACCACACATCTTTACCTTTTTAACTCAAATGCCACTGCCATCGTCCTGGGTGTCGTCTCTGTCGTCTTAACGCTCTGCATCGTTCATACCTACATAATAGATGACAGAACTCTCCGGGCCATGCGCTAATGGCTATTGTCTTAAGTCGCGAACCACTTCATAGAACCCTCAGAAAACTTTTCCCAAGGTGATGGGGACAATGCAGGCCTTGGGTGGTTTGAGAAAGAACTTCGAGCACTCCATAGAGTATGCAAGGTCTAATATCGCAACCTCTGGGACTCGCAAAAGCACACGAGCCACCGCGGCCATTAGTTCAAGATGAACGACTTCATGAACTCCAAAATAGAGTGGGTACGAGTGGTTTAGATCATGAAAGTACCTCGGGTGCCCAGAGGAAGTAAAATGAACGCAGTAAATGCAGAAGGCCTTTCGAGCCACGTGCTACACTACAAATCCTTATCCTGTCGCAAATGACAAGATCGCATCGATGCAGCCAAGAGCGAGAGATTCCCCTGTAAGACCAATAGAACTGTACTCCATGTTCTAAAGCAGGTCCTTGATATGCTCATATTGGGGAAAAGAGTGTAGTCCGAATACAGCATCCTCCCAATACGTCGATCGATGTCGTTCCCTCGCACTTTGTACGAGCTTCCTATTTAATCCAGACTGAGCGAGACAAGGGCGCCTGCTACATACCAAACACACGTGCATTGAGGTCCAGTAGTCATGTGTCTCGGTCCAAAAATTGTAATCGTCAGATTCGAGGGAAACATCCGTTCAGCCCCGCGACTGCAGCAGTGTCTGACCTCGGAACGTTTTCCATTGGTTCAAATGCAACCCTGGGTACGTTTACCACCTTTGTTACCAAACTGCACGACATGCGGTTAAGGATGATTATCCCTGTTTTAGTGAGCTCATGCAGAATGGACGGCGCTGCAGCAGCCCCAAACGCCAATGCCGATTGAGAGACACACGTTTGCCTAATCGGGAAGTCAGAGGTATCTCGACGAGACATCGCGGGGGATCGGGCGGCAGCCCCAACGCTTGGCGGGGGAAAGTTATAAAATGGAAGTCGACTGCAATTGACGTTGGGTTGAGAATGAAAGTTTTCTCGGCATCAGTAAAGACAGCTCGCCTTGGTCGTTTCGCAGGAGGGCCGATATCTTCTCAATTGTTTGGTCCCCAAGAATCCCGCTTGTTCTTGTCACCGCAAAATATGCAGATTTTGGGGACGGTCTTGCGAAGTTTGGCGCGGATGGAGACCAAACCGTATCCGCTGGACTTGGTCAAGGGGCTTGAGAAGTAAGTCGGCATTATCCGCCACCGCGGTTTTGCCTCTGACGATTATCAGATACTTTGACAGTCCGGAATACTCCGACGTCACGATACGATGTATCAAAAGAGACTTTTACGCCCATCGCGTCGTGCTCGCCAGCCAGTCCAAATTCTTCGCGGACGCTTTTCCGGATAGCGACATCGATCCCGCCCTGCTGCTCGAGGGATCAACGGTTCTAGGAAACGCGAATGCCCACCAGAATCCCCACTGCCAGCAAATCATCAATTTGCAAGATGAGAACCCGCGGGTTGTGGAAAATGTTTTATGTTTCATGTACCACGCCGACTATCGCGACACTCCATGCCTCAACGTCACGCCTCCGCCTGCTGATCCGATCCTGTTCAACCTTCAAATGTCCGTTGCCGCGGACAAGTTCGAAATGTCTTGTTTGAAGCGCTGTGCGGTGGAGAAGCTGAGGGATGCTTCTGAGAAACTCTGGAACACGGATGCCTTCGTCAAGGCGATAGCGTATGCCTACTCGGAAACCTCGAGGGTGGATGTTATGGCGAGAAGTGTCTTGGCTGAGGTGGCAGCGAGACATGCGTCTGATTTAAGTCAGATCATAGCTTTCAGGAATTTGCTGGATGAGTTCTTGCAGTTCAACGTCGACTTTACAGAGGCGGTTGTTAAGACTGAACCAGACATGAGTCAAGGGATGCCGTGTATGTTTTGTGGGCTGGTTGGAGATGGCTGCAGATGTGTGAGTGGATGGTCTACTTAAGTATGGGGCGTATCTATTGAAATCAGATGTTGATGTTTAGTCTGGTCATCTCGAGAAAATCATGCGTGTCTGAGGCAGACTCGATTCATGGCTCGAAGGGAAGAAGGGGTATTCGGGTGTCAATTTGGCTGCTCCTTGGAATGATCGCTATTACAGGCACTCAGTGGCAGTTGACCATCGAAGCTTAAGTTTACGGGAACAAAAAAATCACATACTGTTCAATGATTATTGTTATTCTTTTGAAAGCTGGCTTCGTTAACTCGGTGGCTGAAGTGGGAACAGGTTATGATGTAACCACGTTGCTTCTCGACTACCGTAGCCGGTCATGGATATGTATCATGAGACCGCAGTATAAATAAATGAACCACCTCGATGTTACAGACATGAACAGAAAGCCGTATAAAAAAGGGCAACTGAATATGTCGATAACAAGAGGCTAAGCTCGAAAGTACCACGGAAGAAAATGGAAATAAAGGACCCTTGCTACATGTACAAGGGTCCCCTGACTTCCTTCAGCTATCGTCTAGATCAACTCTGAACCTAAGGCACCTTAGCTTGAAAGTACCATCTTCCCCTCAACACCTCTCGGCAAAAGACGAAAAGGCCTCTAAAACGAGAAAGACCACCAAGACTGACGATGCCAATAGCACCGCTCCGCAACTTTTCGACATTCAGAAGTGCTGCGGCTCATACCGTATGCGCTGCAGCAAGATTGAAGACCAATGGCCGACAGATGACGACATGAAGCTAGACGTTTGGGCCGGGAAGCACGGACTGCTCAAGGCTGCCTGCGACTTTGGAGCCTTCGAAGGCACGATGATCATGAGTGAATCTGAGGAACTGCTCGACGCCATCTGCGACCTCGACCAACCCGAGGAAGAAAATACTGGACTATCCAAATACAATCAAGATGATTCGTCCGAGAGCAGTGAGGACGATCAGCCCACGAGATCGAAGAAACGAGCGGCACAGGGAAACCTCAGTGGCGCGCCCGCCAAAAAGACCAAGACCGCAACCAAAGCCTGTCATCGGATCTACTACCGCATGAGAGTTGCAGACACGGGCACCGGGGACGTTGATGATGACACCAGGTCGGGATATCTCGACTTTTCCGGGGGCGATCATTCCGGGGCAGGGTACAGCCGCTTTGTCGGGGTTGCCAATGATTTTGGCTGGTTGTCAGGGAAGATGGAGTTCAACGGCAAGAAGGTGGCGAAAACTCCTCAGAAATGGCCTACATCATGGAGCAGGCTGGTCTGTCTCGTCGGCTAGCCCCCGCGGCGTTGGTAGAAACACCTGACGTTCACTTATGGCGGCTACTGGATGGACGGAGATGCGGTTTATACTGAGCTGACCCCGACAGCTGGAATTTAGGGAGGCGAAGCGTAGGAGAGTTTATGTTTTGATACTGTTGCGTGCGCTCCGGGTTTTGATGCTGTCATTTATCTATCTCTAACAATTACATACCTGCGACCTTTTCTCTTCGCACATGAAACTCGATTATGCCTGTTTCAGAGAAATAAACCTCCCAGTCTTGAAGCAACTGCCTCATGATCTCTGGCTGTGAGGCCGCCAGGTCCTTGGTTTCACCTGGGTCACTCTCAATGTCATAAAGCTCCCATGTGCCAGTGCCATGAGGCGGAGGCAACAGCACAGCCTTGTAAGTTCCTCTCCGTATCGCTCGCATGCCGAAAAGCTCCCATCCAGCAACATCCTCACCCTCGCCATATACCTCGCACGTCTCGGAACCAAGCATCGGAACCCCGGACTTGCCTCGTGGAGTGACTACTTTACGACCGCGAAAAGTAGTGCCAGGATGTGACACGCCGGCCAGATCCAACATCGTAGGCAGGATGTCCATGACGTTGGTATAGGAGTGGCTGATGCCTCCCTGCGTCTTCACAAGAGGAGGATACCGCACGATACACGGACACCGTATGCCGCCCTCAGTGGTACAGGCTTTGAAACCTCGCGAAGGTGCCGCGGCCGCAAGAGCCCATTGCGGCCCATACATAATGAAAGAGTTGGCGTTGCCCATATTCTCGTACGAGTTGTCATAGAATTGTCGAAGTATCTCCTGGATGTCAAGTGAGCCCATGATGGGCATGAATTCCATAGTTGAGCCCTCAGCACCGTTATCAGACATGAAGACGATGAATGTGTTGTCGAGCTCGCCACTGGCCTCCAGGTAATCGATGACGCGGCCGATATTGTCATCGAGCTTGTCCACCATGGCGGCATAGATTTCCATGGCTCGAGATGCCACGGCTCTATCCTGTGCACTTTTCTTATGCCATTCGACGGCTCCAAGATCGTCTACGGGGGCTGGAATTACATCTTCCGGGACTAGGTGTAGTTTCTCGAGTTGGCGCAGACGTCGATCTCTGAGAGCCTTTGGTCCATCGTCATACAAACCACGGTATTTGGCATTCTTCTCTCGTGGTGCCTGCAGTGGCCAGTGTGGTACAGTGTATGCTAGATATCCAAAGAAAGGCTTCTGTTTCTCCTCTTCCGTGCGCTCATCTAAAAAGCCGAGCAGGCGGTCGGTGAAATAGTCGCTTGAATGAAAGTTCTCGGGCAAGTCTTTGCTGCGGTCGATGAATTTGTCGTTCTCCATCCAGAAGCCAGAGCTCTTGATGAACGGAGGAAGTTTTGCGTCAAGCTGTGGCTCATAATTGTGGTGGTTCCCAGCGCCAGGGAGAAAGGAAAGACACTTGCTGAAACCACGACTAGAGGGCGAGGTTTCGGCAGTCATGCCTAGATGCCACTTCCCCGAGCACAGAGTGAAGTAGCCGGCATCCTGAAGTATCTCGGGCAAAGCAGCAACTCGAAAGTTGAGATAGCCTTCGTATCCTGGGTGACCGTCGTACTTTTGTCGCGAACCCATCATGAACTCGGCCATCTGGCCTAGTCCAGCAATGTGGTTATCTGTGCCTGATAGAAGCATGGATCTTGTAGGTGAGCATGCCGGGGCAGTATGGAAGTTAGTCATACGCAAACCATCCTTGGCAAGACGCTGCAGGGCCGGGGTGGATATCTCAGAGCCATATGGCTCCGTATCGCTGAACCCCAAATCGTCAGCGACGATGACGAGAAAATTGGGTCGCTTGGCTGGTTACATGGTTGGAGGTTAAAAGAGAATATGTAACATTTTGTGAAGAATTCTTTTGTGAATTTTTGTATAACTAGGGATATATGAGAGGTCCCCCTTACTCTAACTACCCCCTATATATTTAGTAAACTACTTTTATCAACTACTACTACGTTATAGTAATTATATATATATCCTTAAGTTCTTTTAATAAACTACTATATTTTAATAATATAAAATACTTAATTTAATTAACGTTATATAGCTTATTTATTTTAAAGGTTATTTTAATATACTTAATTTTATTTTATTTTAGCTTAATTATATATTATTTTATTAAAATATATTAATAAAACATAGTAATATGTTTAATATATTATTAAATTTTATATTAAGGGATTAAGTTATATATATAAAAATCTATATATTTTATTCTAGGTCTTTTAAGTAATTATAAAGGAGTTATTATTACTTTTAAAATAGTAATAAATAGTATTAATATAATATAGTAATAGTATCTTAATATTAAGAAAGTAATAAGTTATAGTAGTATAAAGAGGGAGATACTTACTCTTTATAATTAAAGCGATTTACATTCTCTTTATATACCCCTATAAGTGTTACGGTCAGCTATCCAACAGTAGGGTCTGCTAACAAAAGCTGGGGATTAACACGTTATAAGAGTACACTAGGGTTATAGTCTGGGTTATAGGTTGTAGGCTGATAGTAGATTAGGTCTTTAGAGGCTAAGGTGATCAGTCTTAGACTTAATAAGTAATTTATAGTGAAGGTAAGCTGAGAGTATCTGTGAGGATAAATACTAAGTTGATTACTGAAGAGCTATAGAAGTCTGACTATAAGCTAGGCTTAAGGTTATACTATATATAAGTCTAATTCTAAACATATTCCTTTATACCTTAGGTCGATCTGGATCATTCCGATCCAGAATGATTGTTTAGCCCCTAAGTTGTGTTGGATCATATTGATCTAATATGATCGTTATCTTATCATCATGTGACTTAGACTATAGTTCTTCTGTTACTGAGTGAGTCCCTGTTGTTCCTGTGATCCTGCAGTATAAATGTCCTGTCCTAGCCGCCCGACGCCCAAGTGGGTCGCTCAACTGTTATCCATGCATAACAGTGTTACGGTCAGCTATCCGACAGTAGGGTCTGCTAACAGAAGCTGGGGATTGATACGTTCTAACAGTACACTGGGTCGTGGTCGTAGGTTGTAGTTCGTAGGCTGTAGTAGATCGGGTCTTTAGAGGCTAAGGTGATCAGTCTTAGACTCAACAAGTGATTCGCAGTGAAGGTAAGCTGAGAGTATCCGTGAGGATGAATACTAAGTTGATTGCTGAAGAGCTATGGAGGTTTGACCATGAGCCAGGCTCAGGGTCATACTATATACAAGTTCTGAACAGTACCCTTTACTTTATCACTGATCCCTTACCAGGTACCAGTGAGCGCTCATTAACTGTTGGTGAGCGCTCAGTAACTTCAACTGAGCGCTCAGTGATCCACACTGCCTGCTCAGTCTTATCTTATTATCACGTGACTTATACTATAGTTCTTCCGTTTCTAAGTGAGTCCCTGTTGTTCCTATGATCCTGCAGTATAAATGTCCTGTCCTAGCCGCCCGACGCCCGAGTGGGTCGTCCAGCTGTTATCCTTGTTTACAGGTCGTAACATCAGGTCCCCTCTCTAAAGGTCTTGCCCTCAAGACCTAACATAAGTAGGTCGTTAGTCCTAGGTTGGGGATCTGTCAATCATGCTTCCTGATTTATGATGCTGACACTATGTCAGGTTGCGTTTCTGAAAATCCTGCGATTTCTACTCTTCGTCGTTATTATCGTTCCCTTAATATTGCGGAGAACGGGTTTGAAGTCATGCCTTATCGTCGCTGTCGGTCTAAGGGGTTACGCTGTAAAATGCTGCCTAGCTCCTTAGTTTGCAGAGAGTGTGTCGCCGTGGGTGGCACTCGTCATTCGTGCAATGCTTCCGACAACGCAATCTGTTAATATTTATGTAGTCCCTGAGGCCTGTTGTGTTTTGTTTATGCTAATTCATATATAGTGGAGCGTTTGATAGTTAAGTCTCAGCGTTTAGACGATGAGGAGGAAGAAACCGAGGAACTGTTTCGAAAGAGAATGGAGGTGCTGCAAAAGGCGCAGGCTGAAGTGAATGAGGCGCTTGCGAAACTGGATCGTGTCCGCAAGGCTAAGCGAATAGTGTTCAAAGAGGGTCGCAAGGAGACTTTGGTGGTGGCTGAAGAGGAGGGGGCATTAATTCCTTCCCCTGTTGAGTCTTCCTTGGTTCTTAAGGCGCGGTCGGTAGGCGCTTTTGGTGCGATAGACCTAGATATCATCCTTAGCGATTAGAACCTAGGCACTCCAAACTTCTTATCGGAGGCGTCTTAGTTGATTTCTGGTGTTCCTAGGCGGATAAATAGTTTTCCTTATTGCAGCTGGTTTACTTCAGTAGGTGGTCTGGTGAAGTGGTGTGGGTGCTTGATCTGCTTATATCTACTGTTCTTTTTAGCTAGTATAATAGGTGTTAGTGTGACTTCTCATTCTTAATGTTATTGCTAGTAGATCGTGAGTTCTTCTGCTGCGTTAGTGATATTTTTAGCTGGTTCCTATATGTTGTCTTTATATCTATATCCTTTCTATTTGACGAGGTATCAATATCCTTCTGGTTCCTTAAGATGATCGATAATTCGTTCGACTTTATATTCTGGTTCGTTATCTTCCACGATGATGATATTATTTATCTGTGATCTGCGTAGTGCTGGTTTAAGAAGTGAGATGTGGAATACTAGGTGACACTTCATAGTTTCTAGGAGTCTGAGTTTATAGTTAACTGGTGAAATTACTCGTGAAATTTTGAAAGGTCTAAGTTTTTTATAGTTGAGTTTGTCGTTTGGTCGCTTTGTTTTGATGTTTCGCCATATGAGATAGGCGCTATCTCCCTCTTTTAAGGTTGGTCCCTCAATCCTTTGTTTGTTGCTGAATTTTGTCATTCTTTGTCGTACGAATTTGAGTTCTTTGCGTGCGTTTTCCTGGATATCCTTGATTTAGCGTATTGAGGCGACAGCTTTCACTGCAGCTAGGCCTGTTCAGGGTTCTCTATAGGCGGTTGGTTTGAATCTATAGTTGAGGTAGAAGGGGGATTCCTTGGTACTTTCTCCTATTGCGCTGTTATAGGCGAACTAGGCTATTAGTAGCAATATAACCTAATTGTCTTAGTTGTAGTTAACATAGGCGTGGAGGTAAGTTTTGAGGATTTAGTTGATTCGTTCCGTTTGTCTGTCGGTCTGCAGGTGGAATGCAGTGGATATTAATTATTTGATGCTAAGGTGTGACATAATTGATTTCCAAAAGTTGGAGGTGAAGATCTTGTCTCTGTCTGATATAATTTCCTTAGGTGTTCTATGGTTGGCGATGATATACTTGAGAAATATGTAGGCGTATTCTTCAGCGTTGCTTGCTTCCTTGTATGGGATGAAGTAGGCATACTTCGTGAGTCGATCCACGATAACGAGAACGCTGTCATAGTGTGTTCCCATAAGAGGTTCTTGAGACTTCAGTAGCTTGATGATGAAGTCGAGGGATATGGATTGCTAGGCGGTTTGCGGTACAGGCAAGGGTTATAGCATGCTGTACAGCTGATGTTAAGCAGGTTTGCTTTTCAGGCAGACCTCACAGTCCTTAATTGCTTTTGCCACTTGTTCTCTGGTGACCTTTTCTCTATATTGTTGTCGTAGTTATTTCTAGGTCTTTATGATTCCTTGGTGACTATGTGCAGGGCGAGCGTGAAACTCCATAATTGCTTCGTCGTCTAGTTTGTTAGGCGGGTGTTACGGTCAGCTATCCGACAGTAGGGTCTGCTAACAGAAGCTGGGGATTAATACGTTCTAACAGTACACTGGGTCGTGGTCGTAGGTCGTAGTTCGTAGGCTGTAGGAGATTAGGTCTTCAGAGGCTAAGGTGATCAGTCTTAGACTCAACAAGTGATTCGCAGTGAAGGTAAGCTGAGAGTATCCGTGAGGATGAATACTAAGTTGATTGCTGAAGAGCTATAGAAGTCTGACCATGAGCCAGGCTCAGGGTCATACTATATATAAGTTCTGAACAGTACCCTTTACTCTATCACTGATCCCTCACCAGGTACCAGTGAGCGCTTATTAACTGTTGGTAAGCGCTCAGTAACTTCGACTGAGCGCTCAGTGATCCACACTGTCTGCTCAGTCTTATCTTATCATCACATGACTTATATTATAGTTCTCCTGTCTCCAAGTGAGTCCCTGTTGTTCCTGTGATCCTGCAGTACAAATATCCTGTCCTAGCCGCCTAACGCCTGAGTGGGTCGTTCAGCTGTTATCCTTGTTTTTTTTTTTTTTTTTTTTTTTTTTTATTAACGCCATGGCGGCAAGGGCGCAGCCGCCCTTGCGGCAGACCTCCCGAAGGGTATGTGGCGTGGAGGGCCGCAGGATCTAGCTATCTACTGTGTAGTACACGCCTCTTCCTAGCGTCCTCCAGATCTTGCCCGAGGGCCACTATGTGTTCTATCCGTCCCTAGTTCCCACTGGTGCCCTAGTTCCGTTATAGCAATCTGCTGTCCTGATAACTATAGGTAGTCTGTTGTTGAGAGGATAGGTTAAGTCCTATCTATTAGTAACGCGGGCAGATCTTCTGGAAGAAGTCTGTCACGTCAAGGAAGGCCTGGAAGCCTTCATAATCGGTGATTAGCCCCTTAAAGTAGCGCTCTAGAGAGCCTATAGGTCCTAGAGGCTCCCTTCGACTATAAGGG